ACCCCTCGCCCTTTTTTTTTTTTTTTTTTTTTTTCTTAAATTTCTCTTTTTAATAGTGGCTGCCTGTCTGCTGCTGCCCCTACTTTAAAACAAAACAACAAGTCTCCAGCAACCTTCAGAACAGATCTGTAAAACTCTCCAAGTGACTCTAACAAGCAAAGGCAAAACTGTGACAAACCTAACCAGCTTTATCTTCATGGATTGGATCATCTTCAGGGAGTGCAGGACTGGTATGTAAAAATGTAGCCTTTGAACTGGTCCTTTTTTTGTGATAAAGCTGATCCCTGGGACATTGGGGAGGTGACGATGGCAGATGCTGTGATGAGTCAGTGCAGAGGAGGCTGTGGGATGGACATGGGGCCAGCGAAAGGGTACATTTACTGGACTGTGCTCAGCCAAAAAGGTTTGGGTTTTATCTTCGGGCAAGATTTATTCGTCCCTGTTTTTCTTGTCAGACTCCAGGTTAGAAGACTTGGCTTGAACTTTGAGAAAAGAATAATCACTAGATTTATCTACATCTCTAGGAACACAGGCTGCTTCTTCTGGGCTGCCTGTATTATTAATTTATCCAGCTTCTCTCTGCTATATTTTTGTTCTGTGTTGCTCAAACAGATGGGTTCCCTTCCTTTGCTATTGTGAACAGAGACAGATGCAAATAAATAGGCAGTTGTGCTCTGTGGTGTGGTTACCTAGAGAGGCTGTTGTTTGCAAACAAAGGCCGTACCAGGACACAAATAGCCTCGCTTGGTGTAGCCTGGAGATGCACTTCATTAAAAATACTGCCGTGGGGTCCCCCACGCTGCCCTTCAATGTTTATCATTGGAGCTGAGTGCAACGGCTGTGGCAGCATCCACCAAAGAAGAATTGATCAAGAGTGCTGTAAGATGCTGACATTTCAGAAGAAAGGAGGAGCAAAATGTATAAGCTCTCCTCCTCTCCCCTCCCAATTCTCTAACCTATTGTTCCTTTAGATGCTTGAATAAATAAATGAAAAAACACTGCTCGAGCACAAGGCAGCCGTTTCATAATAGCTCACGTACACGCAAATACAACATCCAGCTTTCTCCCCTGCCCTGTGAGCAGACCCAGACAGTTGATACACATTGCCGTGCACCACAAACAGTAGCTGCTCCTGGTCTTACAGGGGCTGGATGCCAGTTTGGGGAATTTCCTTGTGGACCACATGGAAGCAGTGACTGTAGCTGCCAGCTCTCAAACCCAAGTCTAGCCCTGCCTGCCACGGGGAGGGGGGGCACCTGCAAAGATGCTGGGATGGAGGTGCATCCCTGCCTGTCACCTGTGAACCTCCTGGGAGCAGAGCCTGCCCCATGGGGTTGATGGCCATGGTGGGTCCTGGTCCAGGACTAGGCACCATGGTGACACGAATAAGATACCAGCATAGCTGTTGTAGACTCAGTCCCTGTTAAAAATGCAGAGATCATTAAAGCTACATGCCCATGCTTGTCCTGGCTCAAGCTGCTTTTAAAATAAAATGTAGGAATCCCAGAGCTGGGTCCTACAAAAGAAAACTGAGACTCAGAGCAAGAATTGCCGTGTGGTGGAAAATGGCTGTGTGGTGCTGGTCGCCGCAGCCCTTCAGCCCAAAGAGTGCAACCAGGATTTAGGGTTGCAAAGAGGAGATTCAGGACACTGGAGTGGTACAGAGGAAGACTGAATACCATAAAAATATCTCAGGCACTTCAGAAGAAACACCCAAACAGAAATGCCTCCACTGAACACAAGGTTATAACCACCTGACAGTAGTAACAGCCACAATCAGAGCCACAACATAGCTTTGCATTCCTGGGTAGCATTCTCTCCTGAGGAGAAGGTCTAGGCTCCCTTGGTTTCCATGCGAGCCTCAGGTCTCAATCCCTCTGCCTTTGTTTTGCCTGTCAGTGTCTCTGCAAGGATTTTGGTGCTCTCTTCCATTGGGTGTTAGTACTTGGGTGTTTATTTTAAAAGATGGGCAGCAACATCCCTCCAGGAGCCATACCTGCTGCTCATGCTGTGACTGCATGGCATTTGGGGCATCAGATGTTCTACCTCAGTCAATTAAAAGTGTCCCAGGATAAAAATACTGCCATTTTCTTTCTGCTTTTCCAGGAATAAAGCATGCATTTGGAGTGCAGATGACAGCAGTGCCATCTGTACAGGAGGGGAGAGACTCCTGAAGGTGTTAAGCAGACAGGAGCAATGCTCAGCAGCTGCAGCACAGGGAGAAGGCAAGCAGCATTGGATGGTACCATTTTTACAGTCCCTATTCTGCCCTTAATTACGAGCTTAAGTGATGGCTAATAAAGATGATCCAAAACAAATAAATTGAGCTGCTACTCTAATTAAGCAGCTTTTGCTGCATGCGATGAGCCAGACCCATCTGTGTCATAGTTCAGCAGAAGCCAGGAGGGTTCCACGAGGGATTCATTTGAATTGCATCTGAACCACTTGAAGGAGGAAAACGCAGCGCTGACCATCTTGTTTCCTACACTGCTAGCCAAGAAATACTTGACTGTTCCCTAGACAGTCATCCTGGGCAGGGGCACAGTCACTCACATCCATTTCATTTGATTGCATCTGCCTTTACGGCCAGTACGTTAACATGAGACCTTCCATTGCTTACGGGAGGGAAGCTTGAAGCTGTTGGGAAGCAGCAATTGTTCTTCTGGCCAGATAATACTACAACAATAACACTTCATGGCTGTGCCCCTGTTTTTTCAACCAGCCCCATACAACAGAGACAAGAAGCAATTACTGTTGGACATATGTTTATTTGGCAGATGAAATGAGGTGACAGTCCCCTTGACAAATTGCAGCAAAAGGCTTTTCAGATCATCCACTTCACCTCACAGGTAGGGGCTGATGCCTGGGAAGGGCAGATGCAAAGGACAGCATATATGGAGAGAGCCCACGCCGTGACTGCCCTGCAGATATACAGCTTTAATTTCAGGAGCCTGAACTCCCAAACTGCAGCTAACACTCCCACAAGCCTCCACTCTCCAGATGTGCAATACCCAGTCATCTCTGCAGATACAGTTCAAAATGTTTAGGGCTCCCTGTGCATGAGTGCAAATTTTTGCCTGAGAAATATTGAGCATCTGGGAGATACATTGGATATTTTTCCTCCCTCCTCTGTATTTTTCATGGAAGTGTAGTCTCAGCACCGTATCTTCTATGCCCACAGCTGATATTTTAAAATCCACTTGCCCCAGAGAAGAGCCAGTACGTGATCCCTTTGCAGGACTCTAGTCCAGCTTGTGGATGACATCCTGTAACAACATGCCCCAGCATATCTGAAAATGGTACCAGTGTTCAGCTCAAGCCTGCTCCCTTCTCCTTCATGTCACCATAATGCACCAGGGCTAGTGGTCATGACCCTGGTAAGAAAGGCATTGTCTCCTTAAGATATTAAGATACCATTTATTGGAACTAATCCTAGAAGGAAAAAGGGGATAGCATAGAAAATCTGACATCCTTTCAGATGCGGGGCACTCCGAGTTGTACAGCATCACCTGGATCTCCGATCAGGGCATGGCACCCTGCACAGATCCCATCCATCCATCCTGTCATCAACACTTTGGTCTTTAGAGCTCTTGCAGGATTTTATTAGAAGAAACCAATTCTGTTCCTCATCCCAAGAGCCAAGCAAAAGCATAGTCACATGTGAACATGTTGCTTCACATGAAGATAAAGACAAGGATGCACGGGTGGTGTGATCGCCGGTGCCAAGCAGGAGCTGAATCTGATATAATTAGCCAGCAAAGTTTACCCTGTGCCAAGGAATATGCATGGCGTGAGCTGGACAGCCGCATTGTACATGTGGCACAGCACCTTCACAGGGTAAGTGCTACGTGGGCCAGTAACTGCTGGACATACTGTGGTCTTCCTCTTAGGGTCACTACAGTAACAAATTGCCACACTGATTTCTCCAGACCCAAATTTATTGTCTCATACTCCCTCCCCCGTATGCATTCCCATCCGCCTTCCAGACAGAGTTATAAGATATTTCAGCCCAAGCAGCACATTATTTTCTCTGAAAATCATATGCAAACAGCAATGCAGCTTCAGAGCAGGAGATCCCCCAAGGGGAAAGGATGAGCTTGTGGTTAAACCATGGGATGGAGAGTCAGCAGATCAGGGTTTCTCATCCCCTGGCTCTGTGAGCTTTGACTCATTCTATGACCCCTGCGTGGTTCGTGCATGCTTGGTTTCCCCATCTGGAAAACCAGTGTGATGACACTGCAACAGCAGTATGTGGCCATTTATAGCTGCTGGGAACCACCATGAGCGCCTGCAAAGGCACACTCCTTCATTACAAAAAAATCAAGCCTTCGGGATGCAAAATGCTCCTCTGCAAAGTTTTCCACTGGTGTGGTTCACCATAGCTGCAAAGATCTACTTAGATATTTAAATATTTACCCAGCATTTAAATATTTACCCAATATTGAAAGCATCAGTCAGCACTCAATGCCTGGTCCCCTGGGGATGCACAGCCACGTGGCCGGCTGTGCCCTGTGGGGCTGGACTGCCAGGGGCTGCAGCCATCCTGCTGCCTCCCCAGCTGCCCCAAGGTGGGATGGGGCATAGGGGGGCCTGGAAAGCCCTGAGGCACCCTTTCTTTTTCCCCCATCCCCTTTTCCCCATCCATTCCTCTCCCCACTTCAGCACCCACCGTTTCCCCCAGACCTGCCTGCGACTCAGCCCCAGGGCAGGGCTTCCCTCACTTCCCCTCAAGCCCACCACTGAACATCTTTGCTCCCAAACCACCTTCCTGGAGTGTCCCCAAGATTGTCCTTGGCTTTAGCTGGGAGTGCTTTATGAAACTGCCCTGGCGAGAGGATGGTACAGCATTACCTCCTGCGTTTTAGGGTGAGCATCCATGGAGAGGAGGTGCTTGGGGCTTCTCAGCTGGCAAAGCCCCTCCTCCTGCAGGATGTCCCATCCCCTCCTCTGCAGCTCCAACAGGTATACGGATCACTGCAAAGGCTTGTGACATTTGATGGATTGCCACAAGTAATCTAATGCCCTTGTACTGGGCAAGTAAATCAAGTTGTGTTCCTCAGGAGAGCTTGTACCTGCCCTGCCCGATCTGCTCTATCTCTGGGATTTGTTGTCCCTCTGCTCCCCTCTTTCAGCTCCAGTCATCTCCTGCTTCAGCACCCTCTTCTCTTTGGATTTCTCCTGCTGTTCCGTCCCCTCTGCAAACACTACTGACATTGCCAGGGGTTCATTGAGAGTGCAGGAGCCACCAGCCCTCCACAGCTTCATGCACTGGAGAAAGCCCTGCTCTGGGAATTTTACAGCATCTCCAGCCCCCTCTCCCTTTTGTCTGCCCTGTCCATTTTCCCTGAAACCCGCCACAACACAAGGGATTGCCGCTTTTCATATCATTTGGGCAATGCCTTACAACAGCATAAGCCGCGCTTTCAAATCGACCCCTTTAATGCTACATTAGCAAGAATAGAGCTGTCTCTCCCCACTGATACATCTCCAGGCTCTTTACAGAGAAGAGGGTCTTTGCCCCCATTTTACAAGTGTGGACACTGGACTTAGACAAGCAACTTGTGCAAGATCTCCAGGCAGAGAAGCAGCAACAGAGCTGGAAGATCTCCCAAGTCCCATCCCAGTGAAGTTGCCTAAGAACAGGACATACAAACAGACAAAGGTTACACGCAGGTTGCAAAAGGTAGAGGAGATAGAAGGAAAGAGGAAGGTTAAATCCAGGATGCAAGGCAACATGATGTTCAGATCTCACTCCCCTTCCACAGGGCATTTCTAGTACCTGCCAGCCCATCCCAGCATTCACTCCACCATGGTGGTGGGGTGTGCAGTACATATAAGAGCAGAAATCTGCAAAAGTGGGTGGGTTGTTTTTTTCCCCCCAGTTATTTGCACTGGGGGAAGGGGATGGCAAGCTTAAAATCCACAGGGCCTTGTGTACGTGCACCAAGGAGATAAAATCCACAGAAGTCTCCTGTAATGATCAACATACACTGAAAGATTAAACATGTCAAATTGAAGCATAGCATAAAACTGTCCCAGCATGATAGCTACTCTTCAATGCATGCTGTCCATTTTCCACCAGATCCCATAGGACAACATCCTAGGGGAGAATCCACACAGCCACAGCAAAACCAGTTGCTGTCCCCAGTTTTGTCTGGTTGAGACTGTGACCCTGTGCTTTAGAGACCACCAGTGTCTTTTGAGAGGTGGTACAGCACAGTGGTTAGTGTGACAACTGGAGAGATCAGAATTTGGTTATTTAGACTTTGCTGCACACTCAGGGCAGTACCTCTAAAACTCTTGTGCTGTTGTGGGATGGGAGGGAGTTAATGTTTGTCCCCTTCTCTCTTGCACGTCCCAGCGGGTGTCCATTACTGCAGGTTAAATTTTGCTGGTATCTTGGCCTGCCAGGGATTGTATCAGGAAAACCATGCTCTTTCCTTCAACTCCTGGTGAGAAGGTGACTGCTCTGTGCAGAAAGCGTAGAGTGACTAACAAACTAAAGTATTAAATTCTCATTGGGTTAAGAGCAGAGTGGCAGCCCTGGAAAATGAAGACCACTGCAGGTAAAGCAGAGGCTCACTTAAGGCATCTTCTTGGAGCCAACAAGACCACCACATTTTAACATCTTCTCTGAAAATACTCAATGTAAAATATTTTGCATTTTCAAGGTAGCATGCAAAGAGCACTCAGGCTAGTCTGGGGAGAGCTACAGTAAATATTAAGCTTGCCTGAAAGCTAAGAAAACCAAAGCATAGAGAGGTTTTGGGCAGGGCTGTGTCCTTCTGTCCTAAGCCTAGAGCTCCTGAGTGCTGCAATAATTCACATAAGCACATGAGACAGCCTAGCATCATGGGTAGGGGTGCCACCCTGTCCCTGGGCAGACGTGCCACCCTGGCACCCTTCAGCCTGGCGCAGGCACAGGGACTGTTCCCCTGCTGAAGGTGCATCCTCAGCCCTTGCAAAAAAACCCCTCTGGCTCTCAGCACCTGTCTTTCATTGCACAGGCAATGCTTATGTGGTCCTTCTTGCACTAAGCCCTTAAGGCTGAGCCATCTCCTTTGGCTTTGCCCATCCAGGAGCGTTGTGTCTTCTGCCTTGATCACAATTCCGAAGTCCAAGGGTGTGAAAATGCCCCCTTTCCTCTGCAAAAATATATTGGTATTCCCAATTAGAAGAAATCCCTACCTGGTTAAACAAGCCGTTGCTGTCTGCTGGGCTGATGCTGCCATCTTCTGCCCACCTGGTGCTTTGCTGCCGAAACCTCCCCCAGCCCTTGGCCCATCGACCTTCCCACGTGCACGGTAAAGGAGATGAGAAAAGTGCATGAATGTAAGAATTTAGGAGTGGCCTTATGGTCCCTCATCGGTTACTGTGGCTGGAGATCCAGATGCGTGCCACAGGGGTTGTCCTCTTCAAGCCTTTGCACTGTGGTTGTGGATGCGGGTGAGAGGTGCTGCGCTCTGCCAGGGGGAGGAGAAGGCATAGGCTCTGTGCGAGGAATCACATTCAGAAGATGAGAGGGTAAATATGTGCAGTTAATGCTATTGCTAAGTGGACTGTTATTAGACACAGCTTGAGCTGTTCATGGTTCTTCCTGAAAACGCAGGAAAATCAAATGCTTAGTTCAGAGGGAACAGCAGGACTGAGCAATTTCTCTCCTGACACCCATCCAATATGGGTTTTTTTTTTTTGGCAGGGATACAGAGTAATCGGTGTGACTGGCACTAAAGCTGTGGTGGCAGAGTGGGTTGTTGATCAGAAGGTAAGGATACAGAGCATTTGTTTTCCAAAATCTCAAAAGACTTTTGCCTCCTTGTTTGGGGCTTTAGTTCTGCCAGAGCCACTGCCTTGCAACCCTTTGATTACTTTTTTCCCCTTCCCCTGGCACCATTGGCAGTGGGATGCTTGGGGGGAGCTTTTCCCAAACAGCAGGATGTTATAAGATGTAAAAACTGTTAAAACAAGCCTTTTCACATATCAGTCCCCCACAATGCCTCACTATGTGTTCAGTTCAGCAGAGCTTCAGCCCCATCCCTCCTTGGGATTGTGTTGCAGGTCTTTGTACACAGATGCTGTGGCAGATCCCTGAAGGTGTCATACAGGGATGCGGCGGCATTGTCGACCACCTACGGCACAACCTTGCTGGTCCTTGACCACAGGGCATGGCTTCAGCTGGGGTAAGTGGCAGCAGCAGCTCAGAGGGCAGCACATAACCCCAAACCTGGGTGTTTCAGCTGTCAAAAACGTGGCATCTTGTCTCTTTTGCACACATCCTTATAAGCTGGGGCAGATAATTTGAGGTTTGCACCTTGATTTTCCCTCCCTCTAAAAGGAGGGAAATGTGCAGATCCTGTGGAAATGAGGGTTGCAGAGCATCCAGGGGGGATGCAGCCTTGACCTGGTGGATTAATTCCCAATTCCCCTTGCTGGGAAGTGTCCTGAACAGGCAACATTGCATAGTTGTCTCACCAAAGATGAGCTTGCTGCCCATGTGCATGTCTCCTGATGGGGCTGTAGGGCAGCAGCTCTGTTTTGGAGGAGCAGGGTCATACCACTTTGCCTTGGCTAGGGAGCTGTAGTAGGGGATGTCTGTAACTCACTGGATTTTCAGTAGCAGCTGAAATGCTGAGTTCTCCGCTCCTCTGAAATACAGAAACATCACTAGACAAAGCCATAGAGGTTAGGCAGCTTCCTGAGGTTCATACAGAGAGAAAACAGCAGAGATGGGGACAGCGTGCAGAAATCATGTCTACACCTCCATTCATGCAATCCTCCCCCCGCTGCCCTGCAGCGGACACAATTACATGGTCTGTCTGAATGGTACAGGAGTGACATTTTCTCTACAGCCTGGAGTTAATGTAGTTCTGCTTGTAAAGTCATCTGGCAAACGTGGATCCTTGCTTAGAAAGTCATCTGGCAAACGTGGATCCTTGCTTAGCAGATCATTTCACTTTGCAACATCAAAGCTTTGTGCTGATGCAGAGCCAGTGCCTTGGGTTCGGCTGAGCCCAGGGAGGGGACAGACCTCCTTTCCAGAGAGGTACCCCTCAAATGGCTGCAGTAGTCAGCACATCCCTGATTGCAGGGGGGATTCTTGTGGCATTGAAACATACTGTTCCCTTCAGAAATCAATGACATGTTTCCGTTATGCCATATACATATACACATTTTAAATATATATAGAGAAAGAGTTGGGTCTCTGGCTTCAACTTCCTGTTTGCTATAAATTAAAAAAAAACACCAAACACCCAAACATACCTCCAGCCTGAGACACTCTGTGCGCCTCTGAGGAGAGAAGCTTTCACACTGGGTGGTGGGTTTTCCTTTGGTCTCAGGTGATAGTGGCAGCTGGAAGTGACCCCAAATATGAGCTGGGTCTGAAGAGCGGCACAAATCATGGCATGAGCTACAGCCAGAGCAGACAGAGAGAGGAGGTGAAGATGCTCACAAGAGCAGTCTACATGGCTGTTGAGGCCATCAGAGGGGACATCTTCAAGGCAGCTCTGCAAAGTTGGACTGAAATAAAAGCCCTGGTTTGCTCTGCCTTATGACAAACCCATGAGAGCACAGGTGATGCTGTTGACCTATTTGAAGGTTTTACTGCCCTTTGGGGGAAGGTTAAATGAACCTGTTGGGCTGTGTTTGCCGAGATGCAGCCAAGGGGAGGCTGATTTAGGGTCCAGATGCAGTTGACCACCTCCCAGGGGCAATGCCTGTAACTTAAGCCCCCTGTGCACACAGAGAGGGTGTGGGTGGGACAGGACCTTGGCTTGTTGCTTTTTCTTTTCTTTTTTTTTTCCTCCAGGATTTTAAGTATGTTCTCTGAAACCCAACACTAAAGTATAACAGCCCAGACCAGAGCATTTCATACCTGAAAGCTCAGCATCCACAGCTTTCAGCCTCCTCAGCATGCAAGTACTGCCTCAAGACAAGGTGCAAGACCTCTACTAGATCTGTCATCTTCCCTCCCTCTCCTTGCAGGTTGGCGTGGGAGGGCAGAATTGTGGGGATGGGGTTTGTTAGAGGAAAAATCCTCTCAGTTCCCACCACCTACTGCTTCTGAAGAACACGTCTGCCACAGGAACATACTGAGTCAGTACGAGGAAGACGATTTCCCCATTTTTTCCTCTATCTCCTCCATTCCCCAGTATTGCTGGGAGGGAAATATCCATCCCCATGTTGGAGCATGCTTCAGACTGGAAGAGGTAAGCATGGAGCAGATTCCTCAAGATTATTTTAGCAAAGCTCTTTTTTTGTAGGCAGAAACATGTTTTTGTGTGCAGTCAGGCCCCTGGCACAGAAGCCTCCAGAGGTCTGCTTCTCTAAGAAACAAAAATATTAAGTCGAGAAATCCCATTTTCTCCTCACCCTTTTTAATCTTCTTTCACTGGATTTGAGCCGGGGAGTCGTTAACTCCTGGTTCGGTACTGCAAGACGAGAATTGTGATGTGCTCAATGGCAACCTTATATAAAACCACTCACTCCCATACCAAAGAGTTTGTGGTCTTAAAGAATAATGTTCTGGGATAACATTTTAGAAGTGGATTAGTGGATCCTGATGTGCCTTCATTTGCATTTCCCCCCTGAGCAACTCTGAAGGTGTTCAAAACACTTTTTTCCCCTAATTTGATGGTATTTTAATCCTTAAACAATGGCTCAGCTCCTCAGAAATATTTATGTAGCTACCATCCAGCACACTCAGGGATGTAAGGCAGAGGAATACCCAGGAGCTTGTCTGATCCCGAGTTATTTCAATCCCAGCAGTGGATTCCAGGGATGGAAAGCCCAGACCAAGATGCAGACTTCTCTCATGCATCCTTGTTCTGCCACTTCCTTCCCTGCAAAGCCCTGTCCTGATGGCCATCACCATAGATACCCAGGGCTTTGTGTTTGCAGGTAAACGAAGCCTTCAACCACATGTTCCAGCACAAGTCCTAGGAAAGCTCATCATCTCCATGAAGTAAATGCACTGTTTCCCCAGGACTCAGCCCAAGGAGGAGACTCTCCAGGCTCCCACCCCAACAGTGGACAAGCCAAATGAGTCAGGGACAACTTAGTTATGGTGGCTTAAGAAGTTGCTGCATGTCAGCTGAACAGGGTTAGCTGTTGATGGCTGTGTGCTTTTAGCCTGTCCCCTTTCTTGGCTTAACCACCAGCTGGAAAGGCTCCGGCCGAGGCTCAGAGCTCTGCAGCCCAAGTGAGATGGGGAACCTTTGCAGCCACTGCTCAGTCATGCAGCTGATGCTTTGCTTCATGCCTTCACACAGCCCAAGGGACCCTACAGTACTGTCAGGTATTTCTTGCATGACTGTACTTGTGTGTGTTGTATGGTAAATCAGAGGATCCCTCAGCATCAAGCTTACCCCATGAATGTCCTGTATCACCACAGCTACAGGAACAGTAATTTTGACCAGGTTGCTTGGCCTCCCAAAATCTTGAATAAAATTACACAGCACTCAAAGTCTGACCCAACAACATTTCTCAGTGGCAGAGTCACATATCTAGTCCAGATGTAAGCTGACTTCTTACACAGCTTGTCCAACCCCATCAGTAGACTATGGGTCATTTTTCCTTTATTGATGACAGCCTAATATCCTGTGTTGGCTATGGTTATTGATTATGGGAGCAGAGAAAAATAGCTCACTTCCAGCTGTACAAAGAGCAACTAAGGCTAATTGGTGTCCCACTGATCCCCATTTGGGAGCCACTGCCACAGGACATCAGAGCAGTGCCCTGTCAGGCATGTGATAAGCAGCTTGACAGACAGGTCTGATCTGAAATGAGGACCAAAATGAGAAAGACATGGGTGGAGGGGCTAAAGGTTTGCATGTATGTTTTGAACAGGGGATGAAATCACTGGCCCGTCCTGCCTCCGGCAGTGACCAGCAAGAAAGGGAGACTGCTCTCCTGCTTTCCCTCCCCCTTGCCCACCCACATTCCCAGTCATTTGTGCCTGGGGAGAAGGAACATGGTCTTGACCCTGTATCAGTCCAGCTTGGTCCCAGGAGGGGTGATTACAGATACCATTACCTTCATAAGCATCACTGCAAACAAAAGGACCCTGAAACTCTGGTAACAAGCTGGCTATACTCTTTGAAGCTTAATGAGAGAGACTTGAACTACAATGGACTGTGGAGACACAATAGTCAAACCATTTCATCTGACAATGCTTAAATTTGTCTGTGCTGTGCCCTGCTGTTCCAGCATTGCATAGATTCTAGCTACAGAAGCCGCTTCAGCATTGCCTCCGATTACAAAGTGCTTCCTCTGCTGCAATAACCCTCCTGGCTTTCATAGTGTGCCTTTATTACAGCAGCAACTCCAGTCCTGCTTTGCAGTGCCTTAGACCCTGGAGGAAGTTATTTAACTCTCATCCATCCTTTAAAAGCTTTGCAAATTCATCACATTATGCACAGCTTCTCATTGCAGAAGAAAAGAAATGGTTTTTTAGCTTATTTCACTGGTAATAGCAGAAAATGGTCTATTGCAGCAAAGAATTCATCCAAATAAGCTGTGAGCTGTAGCTGTCCTGTAGATAACATCCAGCTCATTTTAGTGTCCTGGAAGCACTCTACAAGTATCTACTATTGAAGCATCATTGTGCTTTAGGTAAATGTGCTGCTTAAAGATAGCAGTCAGCAAAGACCACTGAACAATGGTTTCATTTTATATGTTCAAGCTGTCCCCTAAATGATTGACAACACCTAAAGTTAGTAGTCTGATGGTAGTAAAATGGCTAGTCTGATGGTGGAAGAGCAGGGCCCTTACCCTGTTGCACGCACTGAGCTTCCAGCAGTGTTTAAGGACTTTAAGACATACATTACACCTAGGTTACTACATTTATTAGCCTTCAATCATCATCCTTCCATCAGTTTGCTCTGTTGAAATAGTATCTTTAGTGTCTTCAGGTCACACCATCAGGGTTCTGCAATTTAGTTATACACTATGGATACAGAAAACCTAAATAAACTGATTTTAGGTCAATCTGACAGTATTTTTTTATATTATTTCTATTACAATAAGCCCTGAAGAAACAAGTCCCTTACTATTAGTTGCTGCTTACCTCTGCCACATCTTTTCTTGATCTTCTTTTTCCCTCAAGTAGAAGAGTCTTCAGGCCTTCAGGGATGCCCATACTTTACAGCCTTACCTCTTCAATGACATGGAAGCCCTTCAGAGAATTCTGCTTTTTGCTCACAAATAGTTTTTTCAGACAAAGTAATAAGTACCTTTTTTTATATTATGGCTGTGGAATATGTTTCAGGCTGTAGCCTCTATTTCTTAACCTGATAGCCAGCTTCAACAGCTATTTCACTCTAGATCTTCCATCTTTATCAGCCAGCCCCACAGCAGAAACCCATTTTTTTTTTCTTTCCTATTCTACCTTACCATAAGCCCCTGCTGTGCCTCTCAGTGCCTTAATAAGCTTTAGTTGCCCTGACTGGCCTCACCTGAGCATCCCCACCCATGGGCCTGGGGCCCTATATAAGCTCAGTGTCAGGGTTTCATTTCTTCTTTAAACTGTGTTGTAGGAATACTAATCTCTAGCTTAGTGTAGCCAGACTGGCCTTAGACCCTGCTGCTTCTAGACCCAGCCAAGCATGTTTGACCTAGGTACTTTCTCTAAACCCAATTCTGACTTATGGACTGACTTGCCAGCTAGATTTTAGACCTACTTCAACCCTACAGAGGTGCCTGATGCCTGGACCTGGGGGCTTTCACCACTCTTCCCTCTAGGTCCTCCAGCTCCTAGAGGAGGTATAAGCCTCCTTTGCTACTTGTTTTTATAGCCTAGTGTTAGCAGCTGATTGTTTGTTGTTCTTGTTAAAGATCTTCCACCATTCAGGTGGTTCCTGTGTGACATCTTTCCTGGAGCAGCAGTTTGGTTGTCCCAGTGTCTTCCCTTTGCAGCAGAAGCTGTGGTAGTGCTGGGCTTTCTCTTGCCTTGGCTCTGTAGGGTCTGGTGCCCCTCTGCACCCACATCTGGGTGGTGGGAGGCACCCTTAGGACTCATTTCCCATGTGACCTCCTGCACCCTAGTCCTGGCACCCCACACAAGCTCCCAGGTGCTGTGAGATGGTTGTGCATCCCACCCAGACTTCATTCAGCTGAGTTTATGAGTGTCAATAAGCTGGTCAGGTGCAATGGTGGGTGTCTGCTACTGCTTGCTGAGTAATTTGTTATTGACTTCTCCTGAACAGATGCTTGTCAGCCTCACACTGGGGTAGCTGAGCAATTCGGGAAAGGAGCATGTGGTTGGCCAGGGAGTATCACAACCCTGCTAGATAGAGTTAAGTGAGGGGGAAAAAATTGTGGTTACCCACAGGGTGTTGCCTTTCTCAGGAACCGTGAAGGATTTCTTTAGCTCTTCAAAATGTCTGGAGTTTTAGTACTTACAATCAGCAAAAATTGGAGTGGAATATCAACGGAGCACAGCTTTCAAAAACTCATTTTCTTTTTCCTTTCAAGCTGACAATAGGATTTTAAGAAAAACTTTGAATAATGGATACACTTTTGAATAATGGATGTTTCACAGCCAAAGTCCCTTGACTTTTCTCTCTGTGCCTGAATGAGAAGCCTTTTAATTGCACAACACGTGGAGAGGAGGTACAAAATGCTTTGTGTCTTATGCTGCTGATTAACTGGTGTGTATGCTCCCATTAAACATTCAGAGATGGGTAAATGTATCCCAGCCCAAAGCTGTATGTTATGCACATTGTTTTTTTATCAGCTAAGGATCTGGCATTAGATGTTTTGCATTTTTACTTGTCTCTGTCATGGCTGCTCATAATTTTCCCCTTTTTTTTTTTTTTTTTTGTGGGTTGGATCTTTCCTGCTTCTAGGGCATTGTTCCACATGAAGAGCTTGCACCTTATTCATGCTCTGGGCTCATGTGATGTGGTACGAGGTCACCTTGTGAAGTGAAGAATCCTCCTGAGCTTAGGCCATGGAACAAACTTTTAAATAGGATTTTCCAAAATAGCAGTGCTTATTGCAAGGGTTTTGCTGAGGGATGGTTGTATGGGGTGAAAGAATTGCCTTGGTGTCTGTGCCAGGCTGGATGCTGTGCCGTGGTGTGATGGTGAATCTGCAACACATGGAGCAATTTGAGCCCCCTGTGAATTAGCTGTGTGGGATGTGGGGAGGGGAATTAGCAAGCGCAGCAGTGGTATGGGTCTTCCTTGCTCTTATTCTAGCATGCTGCTGTCTGTCCCTGGCACTGGCTCTTCTCCAAGTTAATTCAGCTGTCATGGAAATTTAAGTCTGCTGCAGAAGGGAAAAGGCAAGTCACTATGCCCCTGAAAAATGTAAAGGGTGGGTTTGGGGTCAATGGTTTTTTTTTGTGCTCTCTCTTTGTCCTCAGTTTCCCCCATCCCTGGGGAGGTGCCCAGCACTTTGAGTGAACCCAGGTGGGCTCAGCCGAGTGAAACCCTGTTGTGTTAGTACTTCTGTAACTTTTGTCTGCACAAAAAGCCCTGAAAACAAGAAGCTATGATCCCATCAGCTCCCCAGTTTTCTTTCCAAGCACAAATCCAGACCAGGGACTGAGCCTCAATGAATAAATGCTGCTGGAGTCAGGCTCTGTCCGGCTCCCAGCCCTCTGCATCCTGGCTGAGGGGGACTGGAGGGTCAGCTTATACAGAGAAATCCTGAGAGTTTGGAAGAGTTTTAGCTCTTGCCATTAGACTATAGAAGTACCTATGGAGGCAGCTTGTTGGGGTGGCAGAGAGGGTCCCCTGGGCTCCCTTGTATCAGACTTTTCTTTTTCACTTAGAGGTTTTTGGTGATCCTTGCCCCCGCACACCATGGGAGGCTGCCAGCCAGAATTCTGGCTTTAAATGGAGCTTGTTCTCTCTCAATTTTGCAGCTTCGTGCCTTAGAGGACAACTGCAATTTAGTTTTATTTTGCAAAATTTGACATGACTTGAGACTGTGATTTACTGGCCTTGAAGGATACGGTATA